AAACCTTCTGATTGCTTTTGTAGCAGATTAAGCAGGTTTGAAAAAAACTGATTTAAACTTGTTTCTGAAGAATGGTATAAACATATTATCTAGATTATCTTCTTCTCCTGTAAATGAAACTGGTGAAATGTGAAAAGTAGAAAACAGGTTGTTTTATACAGGCTGAGTGGTTTCAGATTTTTGAGGCCATCAAATCCCTTTTGTAAATCCAATCTCACATGAAGTCCAGTGGATAAGCAGATAAGTGACACTTTCCTGCTTGTTTAGATTTCCATGTTCTAATCTTGGAGCAGAATTATCGTTCTCTGAGTGCAGTTGTGGTTCCAAGAGTATGTTTTGACAAGAAACCTAAACTTAATTTTGATTGACTCTCAAATTGAAATAGGAGATGCCAGTCACAGTGACTAGTTCCGAGGAGCTGTTGCAGTCAGCAGAGTCACTTACTCATTATAATGCACATGGAGAGAATATGTTGTCAGACATTGCTCTAACGTAGTAGACAAGGCCCTAAAATCATGGAATATACATTCTGATAGAGGGACATTAATAAGCAAAGTAAGCAGACCGATCTGTTAGCTATCTGATGACTAAGAATGACACAAATGGCAGGAGACAGGAACTAGAGGAATGTGTTCTTTCGAGCAGGATAAAAAGAACCCAGGGAAAAGGAGACATTTGAGTGAAGAGCATGTATTTGGTAGAGGGAGTCCAGGAATTGCCAGAGCAGGTGGCTTCTCTTGTATGTGTGAGGAACATTGTGCTGGCCGGTGACTGGAGCAGAGATGAATAGAGGAGAGACAAAATTGTGAACCATGAATGTGAGGAGAAGGACTTTGTCAGCTTGAGACAGATTCTAGTTTTCCAGAATGACAGCAAAGAAAAATGAACAGCGAGGGTGCCCTTTAGATTCTGCGCACTGGCATTCAGCAGATTAGAGCTGCTGAAAAACTTCATGCCATTATGGCATTTCTTCCCATGAGAATGCCTTTTCCATCCACTTAGCTTGATTTCTTCCTCCCTTTGCAGACAAGTGGCAGCTATAACCTCTATAATTCTGCAACTAATAGTAATAATAATAAAACCTGTCAATTTGTTTTCTCTCAGAACTGCTCTAGAACTCATTTGACTTAGTAGTGATTTCTTAGTATGATAGGAGGCCTCATTTTTTTGAATACTTAAAACATTGGATATGGTTTAATCAGGGTATTTTGTAGACTTTGATCTTCCACTGAATAGATTTCATTCAAGATATTTTAGTATGGGATATGCTGAAACAATATATATTAAGGTTATTGACAGTTTTGTTTTTTGAGACCAGGTCTTCCCATAGCCCCAGCTGGCCTGGAACTCACTATATAGACCAGACTGGCTGAGATCTGGCTACCTCAGCATCTGAGTGCTGGGATTAAAGGTGTGTGCCACCACACCCAGCTTGACTGAGATTTTTAAATTGTTTTGTATGAACATTTATGTTTAGGTTAAGGCTTTATGTAATAGGATCAAGTTGCATACTTGCCTTACTTTTGCTTGATAAAGTTATAGAATTGAAATGGATCCATACTTTACGGTGTGCTTGTGTAGTAATCTAGAATCAGAATTTGTTGTGAATATAGCTATAAATCTATCAGTTCATACACAGAGAAGCTCAATAGCATCAGAGTCTCAACAGCATCTTTACTTGATTTTTGATTTTGTAATATTCTGTACAGTTAATCTTGGGCACAGAGATTTTTGTCTTTTTGAGACAGAGTCTCCCTGTAGCCCCAGGCTGGCCTTGAAATCACAGAGATTCACCTGCCACTGCCTAGCCTGTCACTGGCTTTTCTAAGTGGAAGCCAGTATTGGTTTCCGGTAGGAAAGAATTTCGGGGTGTGTGTGTGTGTGTGTGTGTGTGTGTGTTAAAACTTTTTTGTTAAGCCGGGCATGGTGGTGGCTGGGACTACAGGGAGCTTCTTGTGACAAAGTACCTGACAAAAGAAAGGAAAGCTTTATTTTGGCTCATAGTTGGAGGATACAGCTGCTCATGCAACCAGGAAGCAGATGATGAAAGCTCTCATTCAGCTCCTTTTTTCTTTTTTCTTTTGGTGTTTTTGAGACAGGGTCTCCCTGTAGTGGGGCTGGCCTGCAACCCACTATGTAGACCAGACTGGCCTTGAACTCACAGAGATCCTCCTTGTCTCTGCCTCCCGAGTGCTGGGATTAAAGACATGTGCCACCATACATCTTCTTTGTTCAAGTACCCATTCAAGTATTTTACCCATTAAAAAAAGTTGGATTTATTTTCTTCCTGAGTTATGAGAATTCTTTATATTTTCTAGATGCAAGTTTTTTTAAAAGCTGGGCGTGGTGGCGCACGCCTTTAATCCCAGCACTCAGGAGGCAGAGGCAGGCAGATCTCTGTGAGTTTGAGGCTAGCCTGGTCTTCATAGTGAATCCAGGCCAGCTAGGGCTACAGGGAGACCCTGTCTCAAAAAATCAAAAAACAAAACAAAAAAAGCTTGCTTTATAGATTCCCCCTCCCCGCCCAGTTCGTGGCTTATGGTATCTTTTTTTAAAAAGTATTTTATTATTTTTATTTTATGTGTATGAGTGTATTGTTTACTACGTGTATGTGAGTGCACCTGTGTCATGCAATGCCGCGGAGGTCAGAAGAGCACTTCGGATTCCCCTGGAACTAGAGTTAAGGACAGTTCATAGCCGCCATGTGGGTGCTGGGAATCAAACTTGGGTCTTCTGCAAGAGCAGTCAGTGCTCTTAACCGTTAAGCCCTCTCTCCAGCCCCCAGTTTCATTTTTGACTGTGTTTGAAGAATAGAAAATTTTATATTTTGATGAAATTTCGTTCACTTTATGGAGGCGGGGGGTGGGGATGGCGGCTGAGAATTATTTGCCTCATCAAATGTTTCCATTTGAGTTCATCTGTAAATTTATAGTTTTTGATTACCTATTTAGGCCTGTTATTCATTTTTTAGGTTTGTGAATAGGATGTAAATAATTTTTAATTTTTTCCCCATACAGATAAACCAGTTGTTTCATACCATTTTTAAGATCATTATTCCAAAGAGAGGCAAATTTTAACACATTTTTCCAGAAATAACTTGAAGCAGGTTATATTTTACACACACACACACACACAATATGAAGTTTAAGGAGGGAAATAGGAATAAACAATCAAAGACCAAAGGATTTGACAACATGGGGACAACTTTGGTGGAATAATGAAGGTTTCCATTAGCTCTGTTCTTTTTTTAAATCCTAATGAGTTTATTGCTAACAGCATAGGGTGGGGGTTTATTTTCAGAAGAGTGCCCGCCCCCCATTATGGCTGTTCTGGAAAGTCAAATATAGGTCCCATGACTTCCTGGCAGGTGCACAAAATGGTAAGAGAGGTGCCTCATGGTGTTCTTGGCTTATATATCCTTAGCCCCTCTCCCACATGCAGCTAAGGTTGACTGGTTGGATGGGAGGGGTAACTGACTCCTCCATTGACTCTGATGAGCGTGGGAAGGAGGTGTGACTATAACTTGCTGGCATAGTGGTCGGAGGACATTTCCAGTTAACACTCCACCCCTTCCTCCAGCTCTTACATTCTTTCCTCCAACCTCTTCCACAAAAGTCCCTGAGCCTTGGAGGGGGTGGTAGGTGTGGGGTGATCTTCCTCCCATTGTGGCAAGGCACTGAACTTTCGGGTCTCTGCATCATCTGTTTTCCAAGGGCTGTTGGCCCATTTCAGTGGGATTCCATCTACTATAAAGACACAAACAGCAAGAAGCAAGAAAATCTAAACAGTGACTGCCATAACTTAACCTGTGGGTGTAAACACAAACGCTCGGATGGTACTTTAACAGGTGCATCATATCCATCTAACAAAACAATTGCAGTGGCTTCTCCACTGGGGCCTATATCCTCCCCTGCCACAGGAGATTGGCCTGGTGTATAGTACCAGATGTGTGTTCTACCTCTAGGAGCTGGCTTTATAGCCAATTGAAAATTTGGTGGTTGTACATACACTAGATACACTACGATTGCATGGGGGGGATCTTGTTTGGCATGTTAATAGTGCAGCACCTGGGGTCTGTTGTTGAGCAGAATTATAGGGGACAGTTCTCCCCCAGCCATATATTGCCTTCTGGCACTATGAAAGCCACCCATCCAGTGGCAGGGAGTTCTGAGCTTAGTCCAGCTTGGTTTCTCCCTCTCCTGCATTCACATCATGCCATGTCTTCAGCAATAGAGTTTTGCCATCCACTTTTGGTGTACAACCAACATTATTGGCAGTGGTCTTTATTGTTTTGGGGACCTCTAGGTCCCCTCTGGCCAACAGCTCATAGGGGGGCAACCCACCTCTGACACTGGGATTTTCGTTTAACACCCCAATGGCTTCTGGATGGGTTTTCTTCCATCCCCTTAGGGTTCCTTCTGTGCTTAAGGCTTTTTTTTTTTTTTTTTTTTAACTGGAGAATTTTTTCCCCTTTATTCCCATAGTTCTTTGTATAGCCCTCCTCTCCCCCTACCCGCCTTCCCTTTAACTACCCTCTTTTTACATATTTCTCCCTTAGCAACACCTTTATCCTACTATTCTTCTCGGTCAGATT